CAAGGACCTATAAGAACTAAAGGGCAAAAAAACAATGATAAACAACACAATAAATGAAATTAAAACTTCTCCAGAAGGAATCAATAGCAGAATAACTGAGGCAAAAGAATGGATGAGTGACCTGGAAGATAAATAGTGGAAATAACTACTGCAGAGCAGAATAAAGAAAAAAGAATGAAAAGAATTGAGGACAGTCTCAGAGACCTCTGGGACAACATTAAACACACCAACATTCAAATTATAGGGGTCTCAGAAGAAGAAGAGAAAAAGCAAGGATCTGAGAAAATATTTGAAGAGATTACAGTTGAAAACTTCCCTAAATTGGTAAAGGAAATAACCAAGTCCAGGAAGCGCAGAGAGTCTCATACAGGATAAATCCAAGGAGAAACATGCCAAGACACATATTAATCAAACTATCAAAAATTAAATACTAAGAAAAAAATTAAAAGCAGCAAGGGAAAAGAAACAAATAACATACAAGGGAATCCCCATAAAGTTAAGAGCTGATCTTTCAGCAGTAACTCTGTAAGCCAGAAGAGAGTGGCAGAGCATATTCAAAGTGATGAAAGGCAAAAACCTACAACCAAGATTACTCTACCCAGCAAGGATCTCATTCAGATTCAATGGAGAAATTAAAACCTTTACAGACAGCAAAAGCTAAGAGAATTCAGCACCACCAAACCAGCTTTACAACAAATGCTAAAGGAACTTCTCTAGGCAGGAAACACAAGAGAAGGAAAAGACCTACAATAGCAAACCCAAAACAATTAAGAAAATGGTAATAGGAACATACATATCAATAATTACCTTAAATGTAAATGGTTGAAATGCTCCAACCAAAAGACATAGACTGGTTGAATGGATACAAAAACAAGACCCGTATATATGCTGTCTACAAGAGACCCACTTCAGACCTAGGGACACATACAGACTGGAAGTGAGAATATGGAAAAAGATATTCCATGCAAATGGAAATCAAAAGAAAGCTGGAGTAGCAATTCTCATATCAGACAAAATGACTTTAAAATAAAGACTATTACAAGAGACAAAGACAGACACTACAAAATCATCAAGGGATCAATACAAGAAGAAGATATAACAATTGTCAATATTTATGCACTCAACATAGAAGCACCTCAATATATAAGGCAAATGCTAATAGCCATAAAAGGAGAAAACGACAGTAACACATTAATAGTAGGGGACTTTTAACACCTCACTTTCACCAACGGACTGATCAAACAAAATGAAAATAAATAAGGAAACACAGCTTTAAATCACACATTAAACAAGATGGACTTAATTAATATTTATAGGACATTCCATCCAAAAACAGTACAATACACTTTCTTCTCAAGTGCTCATGGAACATTCTCCAGCATAGATCATATCTTGGGTCACAAATCAAGCCTTAGTAAATTTAAGAAAATTGAAATCATATCAAGTATCTTCTCTGACCACAATGCTTTGAGACTAGATATCAATTACAGGAAAAAAATCTGTAAAAAATACAAACACATGGAGGCTAAACAATACTCTACTATACAAGCAAGAGATCACTGAAGAAATCAAAGAGGAAATCAAAAACTACCTAGAGACAAATGACAATGAAAACATGGTGACCCAAAACCTATGGGATGCAGCAAAACCAGTTCTAAGAGGGAAGTTTATAGCAATACAATCCTCCCTCAAGAAACAAGAAACATCCCAAATAAACAACCTAAGCTTACACCTAAAGCAATTAGAGAAAGAAGAACAAAAAAAACTCAAAGTTAGCAGAAGGAAAGGAACCATGAATATCAGATCAGAAATAAATGAAAAAGAAATGAAGGAAATAATAGCAAAGATCAATAAAACTAAAAGCTGGTTCTTTAAGAAGATAAACAAAATTGATAAACCATTAGCCAGACTCATCAAGAAAAAAGGGGAGAATATTCAAATCAACAGAATTAGAAATGGAAAAGGAGAAGTAACAACGGACACTGAAGAAAAATAAAGTATCATGAGAGATTACTACAAGCAACTATATGCCAATAAAATAGAAATCCTGGAAGAGATGGACAAATTCTTAGAAAAGCCCAACCTTCTGAGACTGAACCAGGAAGAAACAGAAAGTATAAACAGACCAATCACAAGCACTGAAACTGAGACTGTGATTAAAAATCTTCCAACAAAAAAGCCCGGGGCCAGATGGCTGCACAGGCAAATTCTATCAAACATTTAGAGAAGAGCTAACACCTATCCTTCTCAAATTCTTCCAAAATATAGCAGAGGGAGGAACACTCCCAAACTCATTCTACGAGGCAACCATCATCCTGATGCCAAAACCAGACAAAGATGTTACAAAAAAAGAAAACTACAGGCCAATATCACTGATGAACATAGATGCAGAAGTCCTCAACAAAATACTAGCAAACAAAATCCAACAGCACATTAAAGGATCATACACCATGATCAAGTGAGGTTTATTCCAGGAATGCAAGGATTCTTCAATATACGGAAATCAATTCATGTGATACACCATATTAACAAATTGAAGGATAAAAACCATATGATAATCTCAATAGATGCAGAAAAAGCTTTCAACAAAATTCAACACCCATTTATGACAAAAACTCTCCAGAAAGTAGGCATAGAGGGAACTTACCTCAATATAATAAAGGCCATATATGACAAACCCACAGCCAACATCGTCCTCAATGGTGAAAAACTGAAACCATTTCCTCTAAGATCAGGAACAAGACAAGATTGCCCACTCTCACCACTATTATTCAACATAGTTTTGGAAGTTTTAGACAAAGCAATCAGAGAAGAAAAAGAAATTTAAAAATGTGAAAAGAAGAAGTAAAACTGTCACTGTTTGCAGATGACATGATACTATACATCGAGAATCCTAAAGATGCTACCAGAAAACTATTAGAGCTAATCAATGAATTTGGTAAAGTAGCAGGATACAAAATTAATGCACAGAAATCTCTTGCATTCCTATAAACTAATGATGAAAGATCTGAAAGAGAAATTAAGAAAACACTCCTATTTACCACTGCAACAAAAATAATAAAATATCTAGGAATAAACCTACCTAAGGAGGTAAAAGATCTGTACTCAGAAAACTATGAGACACTGATGAAAGAATTAAAGATGATACAAACAGATGGAGAGATATACCATGTTCTTGGATTGGAAGAATCAACATTGTGAAAATGACTATACTACCCAAAGCAATTTACAGATTCAATGCAATCCCTATCAAACTACCAATGGCATTTTTCACAGAATGACAACAAAAAATTTCACAATTTGTATGGAAGCACAGAAGGCCCAGAATAGCCAAAGCAATCTTGATAAAGAAAGGCAGAGCTGGAATAATCAGGCTGCCTGACTTCCGACTATACTACAAAGCTACAGTAATCAAGCCAGTATGGTACTGGCACAAAAACAGAAATATAGATCAATAGAACAGGATAGAAAGCCCAGAGATAAACCCACGCACATATGGTCACGTTATCTTTGATAAAGGGGGCAAGAATGTATAATGCAGAAAAGACAGCCTCTTCAATAAGTGGTGCTGGGAAAACTGGACAGCTACATGTAAGGGAATGAAATTAGCATACTTCCTAACACCATACACAAAAATAAACTCAAAATGGATTAAAGACCTAAATGTAAGGTCAGACACTATAAAACTCTTAGAGGAAAACATAGGCAGAACACTCTGTGACATAAATCACAGCAAGATCCTTTTTGACCCACCTCCCGGAGAAACGGAAATAAAAACAAAAAGAAATAAATAAGACCTAATGAAACTTAAAAGCTTTTGCACAGCAAAGGAAACCATAAACAAGACGAAAAGAAAGCCCTCAGAATGGGAGAAAATATTTGCAAATAAAGCAACTGACAAAGGATTAATCTCCAAAATATACAAGCAGCTCATGCAGGTCAATATCAAAAAAACAAACAACCCAATCCAAAAATGGGCGAAAGACCTAAATAGATATTTCTCCGAAGAAGATATACAGATGGCCAACAAACACATGAAAGAATGCTCAATATCACTAATCATTAGAGAAATGCAAATCAAAACTATGAGGTGTCACCTCACACCTCACATGCCTCTATCAAAAACACTACAAACAATAAATGCTGGAGAGGGTGTGGAGAAAAGATAACCCTCTTGCACTGTTGGTGGGATTGTACATTGATACAGCCATGATGGAGAACAGTACGGAGGTTCCTTGAGAAACTAAAAATAAAACTACCATATGACCCAGCAATCCCACTAATGGGCATATACCCGAGAAAACCATAATTCAAAAAGGGTCATGTACCACAGTGTTCATTGCAGCAGTATTTACAATAGCCAGGACATGGAACCAACCTAAGTGTCCATCAACAGATGAATGGATAAAGAAGATGTGGCATGTATATACCATGGAATATTACTCAACCATAAAATGAAATGAAATTGAGTTATTTGTAGTGAGGTGGATGGACTTAGAGTCTGTCATACAGAATGAAGTAAGTCAAAAAGAGAAAAACAAACACCGTATGCTAACACATATACATGCAATCTGAAAAAGGTTCTCATGAACCTAGGGGCAGGACAAGAATAAAGATGCAGACATAGCGAATCGACTTGTGGACATGGGGAAGGGGATGGGTAAGATGGGATGACTTGAGAGAGCAGGATTGACGTATATACACTACCAAATGTAAAATAGATAGCTAGTGGGAAGCAGCTGCAATGCAGAGGGAGATCAGCTCGGTGCTTTGTGACCACCTAGAGGGGTGGGATAGGGAGGGTGGGAGGGAGACGGAAGAGGGAGGGAATATGGGGATATATGTATACATATAGCTGGTTCACTTTGTTATATAGCAGAAACTAACACAACATTCTAAAGCAATTATACTCCAATAAAGATGTTAAATAAAAAAATATATGTATTAGCAATAATACTATAGCAAAATAAAATTCAGTAGTATCATATGAACTATTTTACCTTTGCATTATAGGGAATGTAATGTTTTGATAAAGCCTCTGGCGTATGCATCCATGTTTTGTCTGCAATGAAGAATACACAGTGTTAAATTAAATCACAGGTTCTAAGGGTGTCATATTCATGCATTTGAAAGGAGTCTGATATGGATGGGAGCTCTTCTAATTTGGAGATAGTTTTGCTAAAATGAGAAATAATAACTAATCAGATATATGAACAATGTAACCACAAAGTAATTATAGGATTCTTTCCTTAATATAAAAGTCTTTTCCTTTTAAAAGCTTTCTAATAATAAAACAATTTTGAATTTTTAAAGAATATTAAAAGAACATCAGTTGGGCTATGAGTAATTATATCAATTATGTGAATAATTATGTGCTATTTTTCTTATTTCATGTGATACTCTCATGAATAACAGGTTATTTTTCTTAATTCCCTTTTCAATAAATAGTAATCTGCTCTTTTCTCATGACTGTTACTATTCCTTAGTATCAAGAATTAACTATTTAGTAATGGGAAATTCTAACATTAAACTAACAACTGCATTTATATAAAGCTGAAATGAATCAATCTACTAAATTCATTTAAAAATTAATATAATATTAGGATAACTTTTTAGCCTCAATTTAGAGAAACATTGATTGACGGTCCACTATCAGGAGTTTTGGATATAAATAATCTTAAATGCAGTAATTTGAAATTATTACACTATTTAAATTAGTGTAACAGAATAATAGAAATAAAAGTAACTAAAAGAAGATTGTAAAGCAATTATACTCCAGTAAAGATGTTAAAAAAAATAGAAGATATCGAAAGTAATTTGTATTGTATATTATTGATAGAAATAGAAAATAAAATTTTCATTCAGTTTTTGAATTTTATTTATATATTCCACATATCTTCCAAAAATATTCTGTGGAACATATAAGCAGGAGAAAAGCAAAACATGCTAATGTTTACACAAATCAAATTTGCTGATTTTTTACAAACTGCATTTGTCTGTAGTAAAACTTAATCTTCAAATATGTTATGTCTTAAGTGGAGTTTTGTGAATATTTTACTCCTAATGGGAATTTAAAAATTTAGAATCAATATTATAAATAGAATAAAATTAGACATATATTTTACCATGAAAAATATTAAATAAGTACACACTAAAAGAAAATATCAGATTACTAACAAAGCATTTTCAACATTCAATTCAGAACATTTAAAAATGATGTTAACAGAAACTAGTTTGGTATAATTAATATGTTCTCAAACTGGAGGAATGTGAAGACTTAGAGAAAATGGCATATATTCCTGGAATTTTAATTATTTTAAACCATTCAAAGGATAATGCACTATATATTAAATATGTTTATGGGGTTCAATGCAATATTCTCAAGAATTTCTAAGACAAAACATGAGGGATCAATAAAATCCGGTGCCCATGATGAATTTTAGGGCTATTTCTGATTACTGAAGTGGATATGTGACAGCCGTACTTGGGTGAAATATTTTGAGAAGCAATACATCCTAGGCTTCAAAAAGTGGTATTGACATACTGACACTGACAATAATGTATAACTCTTATTTCTTGTATGGATTTTCATTTTAACTATAGTTTTCTCTTTATGATTGCTACTGGATAGTGATATGATTAATTCAAGAATAATTTGTACTTAGATGTGGAATATAGTCTTGCTCTTGTATACTAAAATAAATTTATCACAATACTGTATGCCAAGATAATAAAAACACCAAAGACCTGCCTTCAGAAAACCTAGAAAGATATCTAGTTCCTTTTTTTTACCCCTTAACTCAATTCTTCTCATGTCTCCTTTTCCAAGACACACAGCTTAGCTCAGGAAGATGCAAAGTCTAACTAAAGTTTGAATCCGATGGTTCATTCCAATCCTGAAGCAGAGGGATAACTGCTTTCTCCTCTAAAACACTATTATTTGAAAACTCATGACACTGCCTTTGTTATAGTCTCGTATTGCAGTAACCTAGAAAGAGGTTAGGTATATCTAGCTGTTACTGGTGAAAGACTAAAATAATCACAATACTAAATTACCAGCGGATAAGCTGCAGTTACTACAATGACAAAAAATCTACATCCACACACCAAGTGCTGATGATTTAATGGTTGTTCATTACATACCTCTAGTATAGGTAATTCACTTATTAAACCTGAAGGATTTCCAAAATGAGTCCTTAATGTCATTCTAATTTATACTTTGGCAAAAGAAAAAACTGACAGGACAAAACTATATGTTAACTCATATAGATGTGGCTGACCTTGAAGAAAGGGTACAGATGATGGTCTTTGGTCACTATATGGACCCACAAAAGATACTGGATACATAGAATTGGTGATGAAACAGGAACACAGACACTCTAGAATGTGTTCCCTTTCTTGATATTAAACTATAATCACTGACTTAATAGTGAACATTCACATAAAAGGAAAGGCCAACATTTCAAAAATATTTGACAGCTGTCAAACCACTCTGACTACTAGGTCAATAAATCTAGGTATTCAAATGTATTTAGATTAAGAGTTCATCTAGAAAGATGCAGTAAACTTCATTATTCTTGTATCACCAGAGCTTAAAATAGTGAAAAAACCTACTTTGAACATATTAATTTAAAACTAAATATTGATGGATGAATGGATGCATTTGAATAAAATTTTCATGAAAAGGAAAATATTTAAAAACTATTGAAATTTAAGTGCTTTGCACTATGATTATTTCTACTCATCACTATATCAACTGATAAGTTAAAGAACATAAAGTGTAGTTAGTTGAATAATCACGTTTATGCTTTTTTAACTAAACGATTAATTTTTGACATAAATAGAATATAAGATTTTAAAAATTCAAAAAGAAAGCTAACATGGGGAAAGAAAGAAGCTATAAAACATTAATTAAAATTTAATCTATGAATCTGGGGTTAGATAGTTTTTACAGAGCTTTTCAAAATAGTCCAAAATGATGCAATTCTAGTACATTCAGTTTTTTTCAGACCCTATGAGCAACTCTCATAACCATTAAGCATTTGCAAAGAAAATCAGTGAAGTGCCTGGACAATTCAATCAAAGAATACCAAATTACTAATTGGGAGATTTAATAAAAAGAGAAAAAAAAACAATTATGTTTAGGTTTAAGATAATCTCTTTTCCTTGGGTTTCTGATTCAGTAAGGTTGCATGTAATAACCAAATAAATTGGATATCTATGAAATAAGAGATAAGTTTTTAAAGATAAAAGACGATCTTGTTTTGTTTAGAGTATAGTACAGTGTATGTTGATGCTAGTTATTGGAAAGATGACTTGAATTATATATTCTCTAGGGCTATAATTACAGTTCCTGATGGTCAAGTATATGAATTCTCTGATAAAATTCCAGTTTTACATCTCAAATTAAAATTCAACAAATAGTGCTACTGGTTGAAACTAGGAGCACAGCCTCCAAGAAGTTTTCTTTTAACAACTGTAATAAATGAGAGAGTGTGAAGTGACTGGTGATCTTAAGGTAGAACTTCCCGGCATCAGGTTCTAAATGAACTGGAGTGAAATACTGATCAATAATTTTCTGATATGTAATCACTAGACTTGAAAAATAAGAGAAGTCAAAAGAAATTTAAAGAGAATGCAGCAAAGCAGGAAATAACAAGTTTCTGCTTCTTGATTCTCTAGATCACTCTGATTTTCCTCATGGTTGTACTCCCACTGTCTTCAAGTGAGACAAATATACAATCGCCAGTTACTCATCTTACTATCCAACACTTGGGATTTCTCAGTGAAAAACCACTCCAAATCCCATTCAAATAAAGAATAAATTAGAAATGTGAAGTTTCAATTTTAAAACCATGGGAAAGGGAATTCTAAGCAAATAAAAAGAAGCGAAGATATTGAAGTGTCTTTAAAAAACAAGATAGTGTGTTTAAAGTGATGAGTTGTGATGTAAGGTTTTTATTGTTTTAGTAAAAATACTTCTATATTTCAGAGAATTATTTCTACATTTTTTACTAGTAAAGGGAATAAAAGAAGCATGATTTTATTTTTGGTATATGTTTTTAAATCAGAAGCAAGCTACAGACCACAATAAATGTCATTTTGCCTTTCTCTTATTCTGAAAAATAAGTAAAATAATAAATTCCTAGTTTCCCAGGGTTGAAAAGTACCTGAAAGTTCTTCACATTACCTAAATCCCTACTGAATACATTAATCCTCTGTACCATATCCAAATGTTTGAACACCTCTCATTTCAGTAAAAAATAAAAGTAACACTTTGAATAATTCCATTACACTTTGGCACAATTTTGTTGGAATTTTTTTCCTACATTTAATCAATGACCTTATAATTTACACCCATTTGTCCTTTATTAAAGTTAGTTCCATGAACAAATGACAGCATTCAAACATTCATAGGTCTTCAAAAATTGCAAGACCACACCAAGGGTTCTCAGCCATGCTTCCTGTTGCATGGTTGAAAGTCCTGAAGTCATCTCAGCCTTTCTCAACCAGGCATGTTACAGTGTGTCAATTCATCCTTAAAAGCAAGAACACACTGTGACTGAGGGCATGGAGTAGAACAGAACAATCTATTTCCTGGTTCAAGACTGTTCATTATTCATCCATTAGAAAATGAACTGGAACCTTTGATAACCACACTGATGACTTTATTCTTCAGCCATGTTTTACCCACAGAGCAATTAAGGTGCATCTTCCAAATAATAACAATATATAAATAAGTATAGAAGTGTTAGAGGTTCTGGACCCATGTTTGGCCATTTACAATATCCTATTAAGTTTACAGTGTGGAATATGACCTAACTAGTCATTTCCCCCCCATATGCCTGTAATCCTACCACATCAGTTATCTCTTCCTACTTTCAATCACCTAAGAACTTGAGTGGCATCATTTAAGTATTCTCTCCCAGGTCACTGACAACATGTTAAACAGGAGAGAGCCCTGTGCCCACCACTAGAGAACTCTTTCTAGAATAGCAAGGATACATTATTTGAACTTTACTGAACTATATAAAACTATCAATTGTTTCTATCTTTCCTATGAGTGTATCAAGAAATATTTTGCCAAATGCCATGTTTTCCTGCCCCTTAAAAAAATTTCTGTACTGATAATTACGATATATTTATACTTATTTTAAATTCCTACTTTAAAATTAATACCAAATGTATTTGGCCTCTTGCTATCAATTCACCTATCATGAACCCTTATTCATTATTCAATAAAAAGTGAAGTGCATGCACACACACACACACACACACACACACACACACGAGTGAATTTAAAACACTATAGCCCATGTAAGCTCAGGGAATTTAGTACTATGGCTATGAAAAGTGAAGTTAGGACTAACTTCCTAAGTCAGATCACTTTATTTTTTGCAACTCATTCTAGAGTCACATGGTTTGATAATTGGAAAAAGTGATTTCTTAACATCTCTGCTTGATTTGAACAGTAATATTGAAATGACTGCCAGGTCTTTAGTGGACACACTTACCTTTCTTCCTGCTAAAAGCACGGTTCATGATGAGGATCAACCAAATAGATGTTCAGTTCAATCACACTTTATATCCTACAAAATTAAGAAAATAGTAAAGCATAAATAAAGGAATGTTGACCAACCTCTTTTATGTAAATTATTTTAATCACAAAGTCTTTTTAAATTTTCTAGATGTTTAAAAACAATATTTCAAAATATCCTGAAGGACAATGGGTAAGAATAAGCGTAATACTCAATATTATGAGTGGCACAGCAGATAAGAACAATATATCAAATGAAATTCCTCCAAAGTTCCTTAACTTTTGTCTTTTTTCCTATTATACATCTTTCACTAATTATATTTACCTTCAAATTTAAGAATAAAGAAGGTTAACTTTTCCCTGAGCTTGTTGGCAAGAAGTGTGGTAATGTTTTGGGTTATCATTAACAGCAGTGGTGGATAAAGAGAAGTCTTCTGATATAAATGGGGGTCGTGCCCCCCACCCCCAATCAGGCTATGCTTGGCAGCCCTGTGTCCCATGATGCTCCAGACAGCTGCTGCCTATCTGTTGAAACCAAGGCAATGGCATACCTCCCATTCCCCACCCCTGAAGCCAAGGAGGGAGCCTTGATGATCTCCGAGTCACCTTCAGGATAATTCATTCCTAGTCTTGAAGAACAGTGCACATTCACAGCCAAATAGCTGTATGGTCCTGTCCTGTGGGATCTAAGAAATCCAAAAGCTTTTCTTCATTTCATCCCATCTCCATCTTCTTCAGTTGAAACTGGCAATGTTTTGCTAGAGTAGCTGATTAGGTCTGCAATTCACATAGATACTAATCTCATCAAAGGGCTGTTTGGCCATACCTTTGGTGTTCTCTGCTATATGGATTGGCTGAGAACTTTCGAAATCTTTTAAGAACTGATTACTTTTTGCTTAACAAATTCATTTCCTTCTCACATTTTACTGTAATCAATTAGAAGCAACCAAGTCCCTCCTTCAACATTTTGCTTAGAAATATCCCCTCAGTTAAATATCCAATTTTATAGATTGCAAGTTTTACCCTCCACAAAACACTAGAACACAAATACAATTTGGCCAAGTTTTTTGCCACTTTATTACAACGATCACCTTTTCACCGTTGTTCAAAAAACATGTTCCACTTTTCCGAGACCTTATCAGAATGGCTTTTACCATTCAGATTTCTACCAATGTTCTGTTCATGATTATCTATGTATTCTCTAAGAAGATGGAAACTTCCTCTCCAGCTCTCCTCTCACCAGAATCTTCTTTAGTAATCCCTTCAAAATACTCTTGGTTTCTTCTAGCATGCACTTCAAAACTCTTCTAGCTTTCCCCCATTACCCAATTCCAAAGCTGTTTCTACATTTTTAAGTGTTTGTTACAGCAGCACCCTACTTCTCAGTAACAATTTTTATTTTGGTCTGCTCAGACTGCCATAACAAGATACCATCAACCGGGTGGCTTAAACAACAGAAATTTATTCCTCACGGTTCTAGAGGCTGGAAGTTTGAGAGTCATACTTTAGGGTGCCAGCATGGTAGGGTTCTAATGAGGACCTTCTTCCTGGCTTGTAAACAGCCACCTTCTGGCTGTCTCCTCACATGACAGAAAGAGAGAGGGCACTCTTGTCTCTTCTTGTTCTCATGAGGACACTAATCCCATCACTGGGGTCCCAACTTTGTGACCTCATCTAAACCTAATTAGCTCCTAAAGGCTCTATCTCCAAATACCAGCACTCTGGGGGAGAGGGCTTCAACATATGAATTTGCAGGGGACACAAACATTCAGTCCGTAACACTCTCCATAAATCTACATAGCAACTGAAGCACAGCAGAGAAATTAATCTTTATCATTAAGTTGTTATTGCAGTGAAATTACTGCTATCTCTGTCCTTGCGCTTCTACACCCAAGAAAAATTAAAATAGTTAATTGAATTATAAAACATTACTAGGTACTGTTTAGTAGACTTAGATAATGACACAATAATATCAATCTGTTATTCACCCCATACTTTACTCATCTTCTCATGATATATGCTATTAATACAAGATAGGTAGATAATACATTTTAAGAATTAGAATGCCAAGATAATTATTCCATGTATATTAACAATATAACATGGTTTATTTTCTATGGTATGAAAGATATTACTATTATATATATATATATATATATATATATGTGTGTGTGTGTGTGTGTGTAACAATTAAAATGACTTCATTTTCTACAATTAATTTATTCATTCACTCAGAAATAATTTATTGATCTCCAGTTCCAGGCACTCTGCAAGATGCAAAGAAATACAATAAGGACAAAATATATTCTGTATTCTCCCAAGAGTTACTCTTCACCTAGAACCAACAGACTAATGATTAATTGATCATATCCTTCAAGGAATAAGTGAAGATCAAAAACTAGCAGAAAAGGAATATAATGTATCCAAATGTAAGATTCAACTTCTCTGGAAGAATAAAGAGACCAATACCAAGATGTCTGTTAATCAGCAGATCAAATTCAGTATGCCTCTTCACTACCCAAATCTCATCACTTTTAGGTAGACATTTTCAACAATAGCAGACCATAAAATATAAAAGCATTTAATACTGTATAATTTTAAAATCCATGAAATTAAATAATATTGTGCTTTTTAAATTAAGAACAATATAATATAAACTCTTTGGGGACATACAGACAGAAAGTAATAAACCTTAGAATAATTGTATAAAGTTCAGTAGGCCAAATAAGAAGAGCATAAAATAACAGTAAAATTCTATGACTAAAACACCAGAAGGATTGTTGCCTGCTCACAAAACATATAGATATAAATGTCAATGAATATCAGATAAGCCATTCTTGTAATATAACTAAAAAACAATAATTTCACTTTCCAAACACCATTCTTTAGCCTATTTATTTGATCCTACGGCACTCTACACTTCTTTGTAAAACAGATCTTACTTCCCCTCTCTATGCCCATGTATATAGTACAGTGCATGGCACTGAGTCGGCATTCAATATACTTACACTTATTTAATGTATAACAATACATGTTTTGGGCTTCCCTGGTGGTGCAGTGGTTAAGAATCCGCCTGCCAATGCAGGGGACAAGGGTTCAAGCCCTGGTCCGGGAAGTTCCCACATGCCGGGGAGCAATGAAGCCCGTGCGCCACAACTACTGAGCCTGCGCTCTAGAGCCCGCAAGCCACAACTACGGACGCCTGCGTGCCTAGAGCCTGTGCTCCACAACAAGAGAAGCCAACGCAATGAGAAGCCCACGCACCACAATGAAGAGTAACCCCCGCTCTCCGCAACTACAGAAAGCACGAACGCAGAAAGGAAGACCCAACGCAGCCAAAAATAAATTAAATAAATAAATAAATTTAAAAACAACAACAAAAATACATGTTTTAATGCACTCTACAGTTGACATAATACGATATATGTCATTATCAACTTAACACATTAATAAGTTAAGAAATATAAGTTCTCTATAAACCGATTTTACTTCCATTTACAATATAATATAAATCTTTCTGTTTGGATAAACTTTTCGTAAAGATTGTTTTGGTGACTATATACACATGGATGCATCATTGCCCTATTATTAAACAACTATTATTTCTAAATTTTAGCTAAATATATACAAAGGGAATAATTTACATAAAAAATAGCTTTTATTCATTTTTCCCATAAAATAGCATCCCAGAGTAAAAATCACTAGGTATAAAGTATTACTATTTAGGTTTTCTTTTAACTAAACATAAAGGGGTTGTAACAATTTATATGGCCATCAGTTATATGACAACACTCATTCAACTTCACATTCTCCGGGATTGACTATTGAATATTGTGTGTCGCTGTGTGTATTTGCATGTGCTATACTTTTCATAATCCTGTTTTTAAAATATAAAACTCTTTAAGATTAACAGTGCTATATGGTATGAAAACATACACTGATTTCCCAATGAAAAAGAACCACTATCATTCAATAAATAATCCAAACCTTCCTCAGAAATTTATGTTGACACCTTTCCATATATTAAATTCAGCTATGTAGATTTATTTAGACACTTTTGCCTCTGGCCAAGACAGAGTAACAGAGGCTATATTTCTCTTACCATCTGAAACACCTAAAAAATGAAACAAGAGGTATGAAACAATGACTGTTAAGACATTAGACATCAGGCAACAAAGGACAGTGATCCATGAGAGATGAAAAACAAATAAGGTAAGCCCTATGACTTCCCTGGCTTAATGCATGGAGAAGGTTTCCAGACTATGGTCCAGGGAGGTGGAACTCAGTTGAACCCCAGCAATCTCCCTGAGTTTTGGAGATATTGCTGAGAATGTGGTGAAATGAAGATGCCTATTTTGCAGTCAAGAGCACTGGAGAGGAAAGAACTCTACCGAAAGCACTAAAGATACCTGCAAAAAATCCTTCTTATAATTGAACTGAGTAATGATAATGACCCAAGGCTGAGGAAAGAGCCACCCACAAAATTTAGAGAGAACAGTGCCTGTAGCTCACAAAAGAACCAACAGCAAGGAAGGAACATTTTTAATTCACAGAACTTCAGTTCGATTACTAAGAAGAGTCTCACCTTATCAGTGGGGAAAAATTAAGGCTAGAATAAATGCTGCTTTGGTCTCACCTGACAAATCTTTAAAAACAAGACCCAAAAGAATCAAACTATTTCCAAGTAACTTCTCTATATCCCAAACTATGCTCAAAAGGATTTTAAGGTTAATTAGCACCCAACATGGTAAAATTCACAATACTTGGTATGCAATAAAATGTGTGTGTGTGGGGGGGGGTTATGGCCATATATATATATATATATATATATATATATATATATATATATATATATATATATATCTCACATGCAAAGAAGCAGAAAAATACAATCCACAATGGGAAGAGAAATTAATCAAGACTGATCTACAAATGACCTGGATGATGGTAGTGGTAGGCAAGGACATTTAGATATGTTCCATATGCTCAAGAAGCTAGGAGATAGATTAAACAGATACAAAAAAACACCCAAATAGAATTTCTAGAAATGAAAA